TGTTATGTGGGGGGGGGGGGGTGGAGTTATTAGCTCTCTAATGAATGGGCATTAGCTCTAGTTTTACCTATGAATAGTTAGTATATAAAGAAAGGTAAGTGTATGAGAGGAATTTGCAACTGTTCTACCTATGAAGTGATCTATCACCTATGAAAAGATGCGTTTGTATTATTATTTGGTGTTGTATAGATTGTTCTTCTCACCTTTTCAGACCATTGCTAATCTTTTTGTATTGATGGTTTGGTAGTGTAATGTAACATGTAAGAGACCTCATTTTCTATATGTTTGTAAGTGTTTACTACACTGATGGTTGAGACGTATTCTCAGTGTGTTCCATGAAAATGGGCCGTAGATGACTGGCCAACTTTCTTCTTTTTTGTGAGTGAGTAGTGAGAATTTCATTCGGCAGAAATGGACCTTGCATCGCTAGCAAGGTGTCACTCACCAATGAAGACTAGCTTTATGCACAGAATTTGGATTTGGCAAACAATATTTAATAGTGAATATATTATCAATAATGGGACGTGTGTTGTTTTTACAAAATTTAACATCAGCAGGATGTACACAAGGTGGACTTTAATCTTAGGGAAATCAGATTAAAAAGTAGAATATGATTGATTTGCGTATTTGTCAAAGAAAATTTAAATATAGAATATATGCATAAAAATTAAATGAATTTAATTCATATTTGTTAATTGTTATGTTATAAATGGGAAGGATTGCATGCTAGATAATTATAAATACATAGATTTGCTGTTTAAGTTGTGTTTGTTGTTCAACGTTCTTTTATGAAGAAAAAAATTTGTTATTTATTTTAAAAGAATCTGGATTTTTAATGTAAATAAACATGTATTTTGTGGGAAAGTACCATTTCGTTACACGTTCTTGTTTAATGATTCTCATTGCTGAAAAGATAAGGAAAATCGAAACAAATAGTGGCAATTTATTCCTCGACACGAGACAAAACAAATAGAAGCAATTTATCAATCCTAAGATGGGCATCTATTTTTCAAAATTTTTTTTTGTTAATTTACAACATATGATTCACCAATATTTTATTGTTCACCGTTGGTTTTGATTGATATTCTTTTCATACATTAAATTTTTAAGGGAATCAACATAAAATATGTTAAGCATGTATTTAGAATAAGGATAAATTACATTCACGTTGTTGGGCTTTAATTAAATTTTATTCAATATTCCTTTTTTATTTTATACAAATTTTCAATTTATATAACAATATAACATTGCATATTCCTTTCAATAACGTGTTCTTTTGTTTTTTAATTTCTTATGTAGTTAAAAAAAATTGAGAGATTAGAATAGTATTCGAATCGAAAATATTAAATATGATTTGCTAACAAGATTATGAATGTAGTTTGTCTCAAGAATAATAATAATAATAAGGACTGGTGCAGAATAAAGACTTCACCTCCCTCAGTGCAACACTTGTTAGACGTGTCATTTTTCTATTAGAATAGAAATTATAGAATTAGTGTTCAAAATTTTGAATGAGTAATCGTACTCTTGAATAATAATTAGTAAACATTAATCATTAAGAAAACCGAGACACGTACGGTATCATGCATGGATGAGGATAGCCTTATTTTTAAGGGTAAGGTTATATAAACAATAATATGATTTTAACAATATGTATGTATAATTAGTTTTATATTTTCTCATCTCAGAATATTATTTACATTGTATTCATTGTTTTTAGAGTTAATTATCTGTTATTTTAAATAGTTATATTTCATAGTTTAAGATTATCATATTACCAAAATAACAGCTTAAATTTGAAAAATAAAAAAATTAAATGAATATTTTTCTGTTTGTAGTTTTAAAGGGAGATATACATGTTATGCATCTAAAATTTAATGTGAGAAAAAGTTATGCGACTAAATCATATAAATCTTGATGGTAGTTTTTTTTCTTCTTTTCACAACTAGCATTTTATTTTATAACGAGCTTCCATGCCACTTTATTTAGATTCAAATAAATTCTGGGAGAATCTATTTTTTAATTTTTAAATTTTTTTTTGTGCGGGGAGGATTAAACTTTATTTGTATATAATCATGCCAAATTGATATAGTAATTATATTTTGAAAGTGTGTCTTTTTTTTTATTTGGTGTGTATTAAAATTATTCTTTTAAGCGATAGTTGAAGGTTAATCTCTTTAAGAGAATGCAGAGATTATCAAAATAGACTTTACCTAAATAAAGTCTTTTATATAAGTAAAGTTAGATTTCTAACTTTGTGAGCGTACTTAAGGAATCACAATAACAAAAATGTTATACAAACAAGATTTTTATGATTAAGTACATTTCCTTTAAAATAAAACAGTTACTTCTCCATACTCTTAAATTTAACAATTATTTTGGTATTCCATTGGTAAATATCTTAAGAATGAGTTTTTTCCCCTTCTTCTAATTTTAACAATTAAATCTCTCTCTTTCTATACAACAAAACATATATTATTCTCTTTTTTTTTGCAACAGTTTTCAATTTTCATGCATCAGTAATTCCGAGAAAGCAAATATGCACCCAGCCATTTCAAAGTTTACGAAGTGGTAAAAAAAATATTTGATGCATAAGAGGAACACAAATGAAATTAGCCACTCTAAATTGTCTCTAAGGTATGAATTAGTGATTCATGCATTAATTTTATGGGGAAAATTTTGTCACCAAATAAGAAAAAATGTGGAGAGAGATAGATAAGGCAAGCAACATTATATAGAATGCTTTGATATGCAATTGTATAGGATGTGAAATGCTTTAGCATTTAATATAGTAAAATTCATTTGAGAGTAAAGAGATTACTCAATAAATAAGGGAGAACTTTACTTTAATTACATCTAAAGCCGTTAAATGCTTAGATTTGTCATTGTTTTCCTTTCTCTTCACCTAAAAACCATAGCTAAGTACAACCTTCCTTTTCTCATCTATCTAAAAGGTTAAAAAAAACACACACCAAATGAAGAAAACAAACCCTAATGCAATGTTTCTATCTCTTTTGCTTTTTCTAGACCATATTTCATTAATAATACCCTATACATTATAGTAGTGAACCAAAAGTTGAGCATGAACCCCTTTTAACAAATTGGTATGAGATTAGTAGAATGATATTTATTAATGTGAGACCAACATGTTAACTCACTCTTTCCTAGATCTTTACAGCATATCCATGAAAAATTGACAACATTCTCATTTATTATTGTGATTGAAAAAACATCCAAATTGAATTAATTAGGTCAGGTCAACAATTGCCACATTTAGATGCACTAAACAATGTGCACTAATTTAGGTTTACTCCATCTCTCTAATGGATAAACATGTTTATAAGTATAATATTATTAATTCGAATTGCCGACAGTGCATTCCTTGAATTGAATTAATGAGTGATCAAAGTTCAAATAACATAGACAAAACTACAGAGTGAGGTCATTGCTTGAGACTGACTCTGCTATGCATGAGGTTAAATTATTTGAATCTAACCCTTTGTGGAACGAATTCTGGTTTGGCTTTGGCTTTCAAGTTGCAGAAAGGGATTCGCAGTTTTTCACCAATCACTCATTGATTGTGTGTGGTGAAGAGTAACATAGAGTTGGTACTTGGCACACCACTTTTCACTTTCAACTCTTACCTTGCCAAAACATAACATCCAAAATAAAATAATAATAATTCTTTTAACGAATAGTAAAATAATCATTTTGTTACAAAATCTTTGTCCAATAGTGAATCATTCATTGACAAAATCATCCACCTATCAGCTTTTAAAAGTCTAAAAGCTAAATCCACACAACCGATTATTTTCTCTCTCCATCCCATCCTATCATTTCTTTATTTTTTTTTTCCTTTTTCTTTCAAAAGATGAATAAATAAAATATAGTAATTTTTTTAATAGCTTTAATATACACAGGTAGGTGAAGATTTTGAAAAACTTTAATTAGACTTTTAAACTAAAAAAATTATAATTGAGTTATTAATTTTTTTATAATTTCATAATTAGGTATAAGAAATTAGTAAAATTACTAAAAAAATAGTTATTTTTCTAGCTGTTTAAAATACCATAAAATAACTTCATGAATCCAATTACAAAAATTTGTAAAAAAGTAAAAAACAAATAATTTTTTTGAGTTTAATTAAAAATTTGCAGAAATTTTACGGACCTACTTATGTATTAAATCATTTTTATTTCATGATAAAATATTTTTATATTATGATGAAATCATGTTATGTATATTAAATATATTTAATTTTATAATAATTAACTTAAAATTCATATAAATAATGACTTTTATCGATTAAAGTGTAGAATTCAAACAATTCAATAAGAGTGTTCATATGATCATAGCGATCCAATAAACTAAATAATCCAAACTAACCAATAAATTTTATTTGATTAATTGGTCATTTTTTAAATTCAAACTAAATAAAATATAATTAGTTCAACTCATTTATTTTTTTTCAACTTAAACTAACTTGAAGACTCATCAATTATTTTTTTTAACTTCAACTTTTCTTGTATTTTTTTTTTGTTTTGATCTTCATATAATTTTAATATTTTAACTCACCTATTTTTTTTAAGAAAAAAAGTGCTATTGAGAAGAAGAAGAAGAAAACAGAATACATGAGCTCTTATCTCTATTATCTTTCTAAATTTCTTTGAGAAATGAATTTAAGAAATTCAAATCAAGATCAAATTAGATTTTTACCTAAATTTTTTTCTAAACACTTAAAACTCACGAGAATTCATTAAATTCTTAGAGTCTCTAAGCCACTAAACAATAATTCAACACTACACAAATTTTAATAAAATTAATAACACTTAATAAAAATATAGTGTTACAAAATATTTTAATCCAGTCATATATTTATTTGTAACCTTTATAATATTATTTTAAGTAAAAACTATTAATGAATTATTTAAAGTAATAACTATAAAAATCTAAACATTAAATTTAATAATAAACTAGTCATTAAAGAGCACAGAATATTCTTATTTTGCATTAGTATAGTATTAAAAGTCATATAAAATAAACAATAAGTGGAGATAAAAAAAAATAAAAATATAATTCTTTTTATTATTATAACATGATGATTCAGAACAAACTAACATAATCTTAGTTAAATTAATTTAATTTAAATAGATAAAAAAAATTAAACAAACTATTTTCTTTTGTTTTGCGACAGATATTTTATCTCTGGAAATTAAAGACTAATCTTATTTTATGATTGTTGCTAATACAATGAATTTTTCCGATTCAAAACAGAATATATTCGGCTAAAGTAAACCAATAGGATAAAGTACAGTAAATTTAAATTAAATTTTATTCTAAACTAAAATTAATGCAACCATAGACACCCTTCATTATCATTTCAACTTCAATCATTGCAACCATGATTTTTTATTTATTATTTTCATCATGGTGTGTGAGTTTAGTTACTAAGAAGTAAGAAGTAAAAAAAAAAAAAAAAAAAAAAAAAAAAAAAAAAAAAAAAGGTGAGAAAAAAGGGTTTAAAATGAGAGAGAAGAGGGAGACACAGATGAATGAGTTGTGAGAGAGAGATCCATTGTTGCAAGTCAACTCAGTAGTCCCAGCATCTCTGACAGAACCTTCAAACAAAAAAAAATGCATCTTTGAAATGACCCTTTTGCCCCTCCCTCCCTCCCCACTTCTGCTTTGACTCTCGCCAACGCCACCGCCCACAATGGACGCCGCCACCACCAACGCCGGCTCGCCCCGCCCCAGCTCTGAGCTCCAGCTCAACGGGGCGTCAGAGGATCCGAATCGAAGCGGGTTGGGTCAGAATTCGTCGGCGAGGTACAAGCTCATGTCGCCGGCGAAGCTTCCGATCTCGAGATCGCCGTGCATCACGGTTCCTCCGGGGCTGAGTCCTACGTCGTTTCTGGAATCCCCTGTTCTTCTTTCCAACATGAAGGTGAGTGAGTGAGTTTGCTCTTTTGCTTCTTCTTTGGGGGGGCTCAATTGGAGTGTTTAGTTTGGGTGAAAATAAAATGGGTTGTGTTATGAGGGAAAATTTCATTTTTTTTTCAAAGGTTTTGTGTCTTCTGAGAGAAAATAGAATAGAAGGAAAGGTAAATGCTTTAGTTAATTCGGGGGAATGTTGTTGTTGTTTTTGAGCTCAGTTTGGTCAAAGGTTGTGTTTTACTGTTTTTATTTTTATTTTTTTATTGACCCTTGTGAGATAAAAGTCACTTATTGTGAGTGGCTGATAAAAAAATTTGTTCTTTTTCACTGTGATTTTGTTGGGGTTTCTCAATTGGGGGGTATCTGGGTTGGCGTCTAGTCTTGTAATTTGGGGGGAATAATTTGGTGACTTAGAATGACTTGATTTGAATGCTGGTGAGCAATGAGCTGAAGATGCTGTTTTTTGTTTTGTGGAATTCGAAATTCTTATATGCTGGTTTAGTCTCGTGGCAAATTGTTTCTTTAGAGCTGGCTCTTTACTTGTATGGTTTTGATCCTTCACTTAGTAGTACATTTTCGTGTATGGGTCCGTTAGGTTCGGATGCTTGCTCTTACAGGATTATGTATTGGCTGCTTTATGCTCTCAAATACGGTATTCTGTTTAGTGGAATATAACTTTAGCTGAGGATCACTCGACATTCTCCTTTTAATTTTTTTAATGTCAGTGTTGTTTTTTCACATAATGAATCTTCTTTTTTGTTGGTGCTTGCCCTTTTTGTTTGTTTTTGTTTCAACGGTGCAGCAGAGTGCACAGAAAAAAAAGTCTTCTTCTTTTCCTTTACCATTTATATATGTGGAACAATCGAATCAATGCATTGCCAACGATTAGTGGATTGATTTTAGTTATATGCGCTTGAGAATAATATAAGGAATGTCACAAAGATTGTGAGTCTAGATTTTGTGAAATGACTTGATTCTAGACGTTAATCATCTGGGTGGTCCTAATTTGAGTAGCATTCTGTGCTACATTCATGTGTGAGTGGCTTTTCTTGGTTATGATTGATTGGTTATATAACTAACTTTTGCATATTTTAACGTACTATGCCCTCTTTTTCACACGGACTCCAAATAAACAACATGCAACATCATCAGCAGGAGAAAGTAGAGAATTTTGCTTATGCTCAATTAAAGTGGGTCGCTTGCATCACTGGCTGATAAAACTGTTCGATTAGTATTCAGATTATTATATATATGCTTTCTTTCCAGTTTTATTACTTATTCCATGTGTTGATTGATTGCTGTTTGAGGTCTTAGGGTTTGCAGGTATTCAGGAACTTGCTTTTGCTTTGCCTTTTCACCCCTCTCGTTTATTTTGTTTTTTTTTGAGAAATTAAAATTGCTTCCTGTATCTTTTTGTGCATTGAATTTATAATTTTTCACTTGACTGAACAGATGTTGCTCAAAGGGCGTTGTAGTTTAAATATTTTGTGTCCATGCTTTTCAGGTGGAGCCTTCACCAACTACAGGGTCCCTTCGTAAGCTTCAGCAAACATTACATGGTTCTATGGCTTCTGCTGCCTCTGCTACATTTCCGGTAACCACTGCATGCTTCAATACCAATACTGTTGATGACAGAAAATCAAGCTTCTTTGAGTTTAAACCACTCAATAGATCGAATATGGTAATGAAAATTGATGATGGCAACACTTCGATTAATATAAGTTTCAAATCACTTGGATGAATGAGCTTGAAATTTGTTCACTTCGATTAATATAAGTTTCAAATCACATGTATGAATGGGCTTGAATTTTGTTTTTCTTTCACCAGTGACTTTACTTGGTTTAAATCTGTATACTAAGTAACACAAGATGAGATAATTAATCAGATATATTGTTGTTAACTCATCACTTTGTTGCACGAGACTGACAAAATCAACTCCTAAAGTCTTGTTTCATTTAAATAGTTTGATAATTTATAATCCTTTAAATAGATTTATTTTGGGGAGCTTCAGTGTTAGATGGAAAAAAATTGCAGTCATGTTTCATGTTCTGAGGATTACTATTTGCCTAGCACTTATACAATGCTATTCACCCATGTTAAGGTTCCTGCAGACTTCAACAACCATGTAAGTAAACAATCTAATCAAGTAGAAGGTCCAGGGAAAGCTCAATCATTTGCTTCCTCACCATTTGTTGAAAGTGAGATAGCAGTTCCTTCTAATGAATTAAGCCTATCATCACCTGTACAAATGGTTAGTTCTGGTGCTAGTACTCCTGTTGACGTTGATTTGGATGACATTAACCACAAAGGTAACGCAGCTACTGGGCTTCAAGCATCACATGCTGAGGTCAGAGGCAGTGGACTTTCAGTTGCAGCTGAGAAAACATCTGACGATGGATACAATTGGCGAAAATATGGTCAAAAACTTGTTAAAGGAAGTGAATTTCCTCGCAGTTATTACAAATGTACACATCCTAACTGTGAAGTGAAAAAACTTTTTGAACGCTCTCATGATGGTCAAATCACTGAGATAGTTTATAAGGGGACACATGATCATCCTAAACCTCAACCGAGCTGCCGATACTCTGCTGGTACTGTTATGTCTATTCAAGGAGGAGAAAGATCTGATAAGGCTTCTTCTTTGGCTGGCCGAGATGGTAATACCAGCCAAATGCTTATTGTAGCTTCCATTTTATTATTACTTATTGCAAAGAACTTAAGTTGACTTTCTTCTTCTTCTTCTTCTTTTAATTCTTGAATTGTAGACAAAGCATCCACTATGTATGGTCAGGTGTCTCATGGAGCTGAGCCCAACAGTACTCCAGAATCATCACCTGTAGCAACAAATGGTGACGGTTTAGAGGGTGCTGGGTTAGTGTCAAGCAGGATCAATGAAGAGGTTGATGATGATGATCCCTTTTCAAAGCGAAGGTATGGCACTATGACAAGTTGGCTGAAGCTCTGGATTTTCTCCAGCATGTGTGCTAACTTGCTGCAGCTGATTTTTTTTTCCTTTTTTATTGAGCAGAAAAATGGAACTTGGAAATGCTGACATCACTCCTGTAGTTAAGCCTATCCGGGAACCACGGGTTGTTGTACAAACTTTGAGTGAGGTTGATATATTGGATGATGGGTATCGCTGGCGTAAGTATGGGCAGAAGGTGGTGAGAGGCAATCCTAACCCCAGGTATGTCCTCACATTGATGAAAACTAGGAATAGAAGTCAAATTAATAAATTCAAATTTACTGTATGTGCTTTGTCAAATGTTTTTATTTATTTATTTATTTTTATTGTTATTGTCAAGCTTTTGCTCTTTTATTTTCTGTATAGAGTATAGACAACAATTGAAGTGAGGAATAAACTTATTATAATTATTTATTGAAGCCTGTATATTCACTTCTCAATCATTGGCTTTACAATTTGTTTCTTTTATTATCATTGGTGTTAGCTTAGTCTGAGGCTGAGACTCCTGTTGGCTGTTGCAGCTATGTAGTCAACATGGTCTGTGAGAAACAGTATGTATCTTACATTAGAATATATTCAGATATGCACATGTGAAAGGATATAGTAGCATAAGAAGGGAAGAGTTTTGCTTATATATATTATATCGCTGCAGGACTTTCCTCATTAACAGCAATATAGACAAACGAATCTAATAAACGCCAACCTTTTGAAGGGTTTAAGTATGAAATACGAGGAATACCTACTATAGATTTGTTTTGGTGAGATGGACATGTGGGTGTGGTAGATGGTGTTTCATGGTTGCAAGATAGCAATGGAAAGTACCATGTTAGATCCTGAAATTTTCTATATTCTGAATGTTGCTCATGAAAGAATTAGGACATTAGGTAGAGGAATTCTACTTGGATGACTTTGTAAGCTGTTTTTAATATTCATTCAGAATCTTTTTATTTTTGTGGCTCATCAAATCAAATGTGTGATATTTGCAAAGTTGTACTTGGTAGTAGAAGGTTGATGAGAACATATGGGGATGTGGGATCTTAAAGAACGACTAGAATGCTTAAATACATTATAGTTTAAGATACAAGTTGAAAATTAAGAGTATAATTGCTAAAGATTTGCAAAGAAACACTGGCGAATTATGAATGTTGATGATTTCATTTTATGAAGTCATTGGGCACTTGTAAGCTATTACTTATAAATCGGGCTATATTTACCTGAGTTAGTTTAGTTGTCCTAAGAAGTGTCTGTACTAACACTTTCTATTTCATGGAGATGATCATTAATGTGGATGTCATTATTACAGACTCAAAAGGTTACTTCTCATGATTCGTCTGTTATACTAATGCTTTGATGCTTCAAGAAATGCTTGAAAGCACAAATTTCAAATCCAATATGCGTGCTTAGACCTTGATGAACGAGGCTTGCTACATTACATGTTAATGATCCATGCTTATGATACTAACTTGTTGCCGTGCTAAAATATGATACTTAACTGCATATTTGTTGTGAATCTTGTATCTAAGTATTTTACAATGGTTGTTATGCAGGAGTTATTACAAATGCACAAATGCTGGTTGCCCTGTCAGAAAACATGTGGAGAGGGCATCTCATGATCCGAAAGCAGTGATAACCACATATGAGGGTAAACATAATCATGATGTACCAGCTGCTAGGAATAGCAGCCATGACATGGCAGCACCAGCAACTGCAGGTGGACAAGCAAGAATTAAATTAGAAGAAAGTGATACTATTAGCCTTGACCTTGGGATGGGCATTAACTCAGCTGCGGAACATAGATCACATGGACAAGGGAAAACACTGCACTCAGAATTTGGTGACCCTCAAACTCACACCACCAATTCCAATTTCAAGTTTGTTCATACTACCCAAGCTCCAGTATACTTTGGTGTTCTAAATAACAGCTCAAATCCCTATGGTTCTAGAGACAATAGGAGTGATGGTCCTTTAAACCATTCCACTTATCCATGCCCACAGAGCATGGGAAGAATACTAATGGGTCCATGAAATTGTTTACACCACAGATATTAAAATAAAAATTATGAGTAACATTTGGGTATTTTTTTTGGGCGGGTATAGCTTCAAAGGTGTAACATCTCATTTTCTATAAGAAAATGCGATAGTTCTTTTACGTTTATATCACTATTCGAGAGCTGCTGTTTAGGAGAATTGGTAGCAGCTCCATGTTGACTTCCAAGTCTAGTTGCCGTTTGTAATTGTATAATTATCTATAATTATATCCAAATTCTTCTGTATAAATATGAAGCTGATGTCAAAGTTACTTTCACAAAACCTTGTAAAAGTGCATTTAGCCTTTTACTAAACATTTGCATGTCGTGTTCACAATTTCAGTTTCAGTAACCTCAGTCCCTAGACCCCACTGCACAGGTTGCAAGTTGTTCACACCCCGTGATTGATGACCTGTTCTGATACAGTGAAATTGAAGTGAATGTGATGCTACCATGAATTTGTACATATTGGATATTCTCACTAGGTTAGACTCCCTAAGGAGTTTTTTACATGATTGACACGGATATGGAGAGATAAATAGTCATATAAGATTACATAGATCTATGTGTCCATTCTTTATTGTGGTATGAAAAGTTGGGATACAAATAGTGTCTTATGACATTAGAAAAGAATGAAAAACAAGAGTATATAAAACAATTACATACTTAATTAGTATGAAATTTTTTGGATAATGACTAAAAATAATTCCTCGAAGGTTTAAGTTTAAAATAAATAATATACTAATAGGGAGATGTCTCTGTAAATATGTATTCCAATACATAAGATATCATACTTCTTTTGCATAAAAATGCACCTCTACACAAACAAATCGACAAAACAATCCTATGAGTTATATTAGATCCGATGGTTCTATGAAAAATATATCTCCACAATCCAAACAAACAACAAAAAATACATGATACAAAACATAAAACTCATTGAATAGAAGATTAGGTCTTTTGTTTGAGAGAAAAATTGTTAGGATATAAAATACATATATACTCACTTTATTAGTAAGAGATTTTTTTTAGTGATGATCAAAAATAAATTTCTGAAATTTGTATAAATATCTAGATCTGCTGCATAATAAGATAACATGTACTCCTCTTAATAAGATATCAAACTCTGCTGACAAAAATATCCTGTTAATAAGATATCAAAATCTGCTGACAAAAATATATCTCAGCAAACAAAATCCAATCACCCATCATGAAAATCTCGGTGGATGTTATATGTATTACGTACATATACCTTATCCTCACTTTAACAACTGATAAAACGAAATCTCTCAATCCCTTGGTTTCAGCATAGAAAAGGACATGGTCCCTTTCAGCCTGTAATTTGTGAAGGGGACCACAGCATTGGCAAATGTGTTGTGCTTGTTTCTTGGAAACTGAACAGAGAAAAAAATAGGGATTTTTTTTCCTTTTCATTTTGCACATTCCTAGTACATTGCATCAACATTAGTTTAGCAGCTGTCATATTTCGATGCCACACATACCACCAGAGTTTGATTAGTTTAGAGTAGTAGTAGTATTTGGAGTGCACTAAGGGTTTTTCTAGAAAGAGGAAAACAAATGAAAGGTGATGGAGTCAATTGCCTAATTATGTGGAACTAAACGTGCTAGCATTTTAGCACTGTTTGGCAATAAATATACATGCATTTTGGCACGAGATTTCTTAGATTTGGGATGAATTTCTTGTATTAGTCAATCGGCAATAGGGATTTACATACTGCTATACTTGGAATATTGAATGAGTACATCCTTTATGACGAGTGGATTCTCTTGGCTTTATCTTTGAACCAGTCTGACATGTTCACGTTGGTCTTTAATTGCAGTGCAAGTAAAGTACAACTTTCTTAAATTCATATATTTGTCTTAGCTTAATCAGGACTGAAGAATCATGCAGCCACGTCGTGCCCCATTTATCCATGTATGAATTCTGGGCTGATCCTTCCCCCTCAGAGTCAGATGAGAGCCACTCATGAGTACAATTCTGTAATCTTACAATATCATCATTTAGAACCCTTCTGAGCATTATCATTTCTTTTATGCTAACGCGAATGGTTCTTGTTTTTAAACAAATAAACACCAAGTTAGAGATAAAAGAAAGTCTGATCTCTCATTTGCTTTATTTATCATGAAAATGGAAAAAGTAATGCTATTGTCATGGCTCTTTATACCAAAAATAAAGAGGACAAGCACAATCATGTTTCTGTATGATTATGTCTTTGATATGTGAAGCGACTTTTCAGAACCAATATACAAACAGTTGATATTCTATTGTCTTTAGACTCGAGCATATCACTTTTTCTTTTTCATAAATGAAAAGAGAAATTATATTTGTACAATTTTTTTTATACAAAATAGAAGAAAGAAAAATGTGAGATAAGATGAATACTGTGATAAAGAAATAATAAAGAGAAATTAGTATTACGTGAATAATATAATTCAAATGTAAGGTTAAGCCCAAAAAAGTTATATGCTAGGTACATATTTCATGATTGAACAGGTGTAGTTAATCTTTCTTTTGTAAAATTTGATTAGCTAGACATGTGATATTGACATTGTAAATAAATTTAAACCAAATAATTGCTGGCCCAAAAGTGACAAAAGAACAATAAATGACTAAGGAGAGTCCACTAGGGTCATGCCGTTCTCAAGCATTCCAGAGTAGACATTTCTCACTCATTTTTGGAACAGATCCATCATCTATGTCCCATAATGGCAGAGGGAAAAAGAAAAGGTTAAAATATGTTTTTGTCCTAATAGCACATTTATTTTAATTCAGAACTTGTACCAAAAAAGGTTTTAATTTCTTTTAATGTTATTCTTTGTTTGTTGCCATTATATTACAGTAAAATAAACACACGGTCATTGTAAAATATAACAACTGAATTGAAAATAATTATACATAAAAACAAAAATCTTTTACCCCTATACATAAATTTCAATTTGGTCAAGATATTGTACCTATAATGACGAAATTAAAATTTATTCCTATGCATAAAAAATTGAAAATGACTTTAGTGAACACAAATATACTCCTTATTCTCTGTCCCTCAAATTTGTGTATGTTACTGGGACAACAGACTTGTTCACAAAAAGCCATTCCTTTGTGCTCATATTTCAATCCACACAGGGAGGAAGAGAAGCAAAGAAAGAGATGCATGCCTTATGGGTCTCCTTGAAGGATAATGTCAAATGTGGAAACAAGCTCAACGATGTAATCAAGCAGCAAACAAAATGCGGCAAAGGAAGTGGCTATTCAGAAAAGGAGAAAATGAACGGATATAACAGACCTCTTACAGAAACTCCAACTGGCCTAATAGTTTCAAGACCAAGCAACTCACTGGTACGGCTTCATGGTAAGTTACTCAGTTGCATGTTGCTCCTAGTTACATGAACACAACACGCTTTTATGTCTTCAAAACTCAGTGCAACCAAGTGTTTCATGATAAAAAGTTTGGAATATAAGAATTATGATTTTTAAGAAGTCCTTGTAATGTAACAGGCTTGCAAGAAGAAACTAGTTAGAGCAGTTGCTGCATTCTTTCAAACTTCATTTATCTTTTATTCCACTATCTATTGTTTTGTTCTACTAACTAGTTCATGTCATTATAAAATTTTGGCAGAGCTGAGTGTTGGAGACCCATCAAGAAAAATTGTTGAGATGATCTTTCAGAAAGCTTGGTTGAACACCTCAAAGCCACTGAAGAGGGTTAGAACAGTTCTAAGGGTGAGGTACTCAGAAGAAGTCCATGAAAAGTTTGAAAAGTACAGAGAATATGTGAAGAAGGTGGCATCTGAGCAATATCCAAGGCATCCAAGGAGCACGGTAGATGGAAATGAACTGTTGCGGTTCTATGGTACTACAGTGAGATGTTTCCCAGGGAAATCTACTAAGAAAGTTCATGATATCTGTAAAGATCCATCTTGTTATCTTTGCCAAATAATTCAATTTAATTTCAACACGCGATGCGCCGAGATTCACTTGAATACAAGTGGCAAAGAGTTGAGTAATAGAACTGCCACTGCTAGAGTATATAATGTGAAAAAAGCTGCAATAATTTGCAGGATAATTGCTGGAACTGCAGTAAATGAAGTTGATGGTGAATATGAAGTGTCTCACTCAACTGGGTTAGGAGAAATGCAGTTTAGCTTAGAAAAATTTGTGATAAAAAATCCCAGTTCTATTCTTCCTTGTTTTGTAATCATTTTCAGCTAACATGTTTTGTAGTTGTAAATTGTCATTATTCTTTTTTATCTTTGTGAAGTGTGTCATAGAAAAATACAGAATATATAGTCCTGTTTTAATTTTTTAATTTTTTTGACGAGATCCTGCTTGCTGGTACTGGCATTATTGTCATAAAATCCTGTGTACATTTTAACAAACTATAGAGTAATTTAACTATGAACTAAGAAATTCTGCCATAGAAGATTAGGATGATACATAAACTATATAAAAATCTGCAATAACAAAATCACCTCCAAGCACAAGAGGTAATAAGTACTTGATTCATCCAACCAAGACATATAGCATCGTCTCTCTCTTCTAGAGTGTAATGTCCTCGGTAGCTTTGCTGAAGATTTTTTATTGAACTGTTAATAAAGGAGTTCAATGGATATGGTGTGAATCCAGCCATTGCGAAACGCGATCTCCACTTCCTTAGAAGCTCATGACGTTCTACTCTTTCTGCCCCTTCACATGCTATTAAGTTGACAACTTCTCGAGCCAAACAATGCTGTTCCACATTAATCCTTTCTTTATGCTCCCTCGGTAGAGCAACATCAATTGATTCAAAAACAGCCAAGTAGTAGTTCATTGTCTCCATAAAACGGGGCAAGAATGGGACACAAGTATTTGATTCTTGCTCAACTAGTGTCACAATCTTAGGACACAAGAACTTTGCCAATCTCACCAACCGGTCACGATGGTTCTGAATATCCACACTTTCATCTGGAACATGATGCAGCATCATGGCAAAATTCACAGCAATAGCTTCACCAGGTTGAAGTTCAAGGTCTTTAAGTTCCACCTCAGTGGGAGAAGCTCCTATAGCATGGAACTCAAAGGGTATGTTATATGCTTGTGCAAGTTTTGATAACCTTTCTCCAACAATTTCAAGGCCCCCTCCCCTGGCATAAGCTGAAGTTGAGTCATCAAAACTTGTTATTCTGATCTTGGGGGGTCCTCCAGGTCTGCCAGCAAGAGCTTGGATTAGGCTTACCCACTGAATACCCTGGTTAATCTGAAAATCAATAATGTGGACTTCACTTTCTTCCTTCATGGCTTCGGCAATAGCTCCATTTGCTGACATGTACCCAAATTTGAGATATGGACAGATTTCATATAGTAGATGCATGTGTGAAAGGAGTTCACTACCAGTAGGCTCTTTACATTTCAAGGCTTTGTAGATCGTGCTTCCTGAAGAGGCCAGCCGTGAAACAAGAGCCTCCAACATGTATGCTCCCAATCGTTGGATTGGATTGCCAGACACGGAGACCATTTTCCGCAACTCTGACATCAACCATTCAGTTGTCTCCATATCATTTCCTGCCACTGCTTTTGCACATGTACAAAGCATCTCTTTCAAATCTCCTCTAGATATCATTTCCATCATTCTTTTCCACCTTTCTGCCTCTAGCAAAAATGAATCAGATTCTTCTGGGATAACAGTATCATATATATCCAGCATATCTGCATCATGTCCCAACATAGCACTTTCAAGCTCTCTTATCTTGTGCCTCAGGTCATCGTCATTGTGTGTCAAGCAAGACTCATTTTTGAGCGAATCATTCATAATTTCAAGAGAATTCTGCGAACTCAACACATATGATTTTGACTGTAGATTTGAGAGTGGGCTATTGTTAGGTGAGAAACTGATAGTAGATGGGGAATTTAGGGAAGGGAAACTGTTGTTTGTGGAAGATTCCAGGGTGCAATATTGCTCTAAAGTACGAACAGAAGGATAGGTTGCATGGCTACTGTTATCAGAGGATGAGTAGTAGTCTAGGTTCTCACTTTTCAGGATGCAACATGACGCCAGATTTTGCACATGCTCAATGTTGAACCTGTTAGAGCCATAGGACACTTTATGCTTCTGAGACATTTGCATTGAAAAGTAACTGGTTCGCTGAATATACTTGAACAACACAAAAATGTTTTTCTGATATGAACACTCCCAAATTTTCTGATTTCTCTCTTTGTTGGAACAACAAATGTCAGTAACTTTTAATTAAGCTCTGTGATCATTGTCCACATTTTAATCCAATTTGTGCTCAACCTGAGATATTCTGCAGAAAGGGTAACACAACAATTGAAGCAAAAAGGATAGTTAACAAAACAACCAGAGCTATAACCATATAAAACAAAAATGCAGTCTCAATCCTGATGGAATAAGAAGCAATTGGTGTTCCTTGAGGTCTCCATGGAATATATTACTCAAATAAAGGCTAGAACACTATTGATGGCGTAAGCAGGCATTTTAAAACTAGAAAAGTAAGCCTATATACAACATACTATATTTTCCAGATTTATTATAAATTTAAATTACAAGGCTATTCCAGCTAGAAGCACGCCAAGGAGACAGTTCTATTTTTCACAATCCTCATGTATAGAATATAATACTACCTTTGGTCCTTTTTATAAGAAGCAAGTTACTAGTAGTTCTTAACATCAAACAAAACTGTAATTTTATGCTATTTTTTGGTCCTTTTCTTGCATTTCTGAATAATAGGGTTATTAAGAAAGTGTCTCACATCACACATGCTATTCATGCAATTCCTTAGGAATACTCATAAGATCCATCAGTATTTTCTTGAACTAAAACTTATTGAAACATGATCTAAACTTCACCTCAATTACATAGATAGATGAGTAATAGGGACTTATAATTATGAAATAAAAGTAAAAATTAAGCATTAAAATATAAATTGATTCCAAGTTCAAACGCCCAGAGACACAAAATTTCTGATCAATCAACCCTACTAAGTGCTGACCCAACAAAACCTAAAGTGTTCCACTAAGTTTCCCCTTAAGAAAACTGAAAAGCAAGACAAAAAAGCGAAAAAACCATTACTATAAACCAGAAAAGGCTCAAGCTTGAAAGTAATTGCTCCCCCTTAAACTTACCATTTTTATAAGCTTCATCAACCCATTTTCACAAACTCAATAACAGCCATGAAAAATACATTTTTTTTTTACTCTCTAATAAATAAAACAAGATGCAGCTTCTCCTTCAACTGCAACTTAGAAATCAAAGACACTTTTATGGTAAAAATGTAAAAACCACTTTCCTCCCACAAGATCATCATACAAAACAAGAAAAAAAGATGAGTATAATACTTCAGAGACTCTCACCTTAAACGAAAAGGAAAGCATGATCTGAACTTTGAAGGCAAAACAATAGAGAACTAGTGCAAATGCAAGGACCAATGACTTTTGGAGGTAAAAGTAACGAGGAATTGGCATGCATGTGGGCTTTTGTTTATGCGATTTTATTCAAGGTTGGACGCAAGACCAAATACAAGGTTGTTGATTTCTATATTTTATAGGAAGGCTTACATAAGCAATGAATAAACCACCGAATTTTATCTCTCAAATTTGTCGTTTATCGTATCATTTATGTTTTTGTTTATTCATTTTTCTAAACATATGATCTTTTGTCATAAAACAATAAATAAAACTTCAAAGGATTTTTTAACGCAACTTAAAAATATCGTTTAACAAATAAAAGTTCAAATGAATTTTATAATCACGATCAAAATGCATATGAAGTCCGAAACCGACATGTTCTATTTGTGCTTCACTGCTCCGAATGCAGACCCACGTGCATAACACGTAAATGTTTATTTGAGGTTAGAGGCTAAAATTCGAGTAATTAACGATCTCAATTATACGTCATCTTAGAAAAATAAAATAAAATAACAATGATTTAAATGTTAATAACTTATTAGCTAAAATGAGTGTTTTGAATCATTAATTTCCTCAAAGTTACTTAGGACTTAGGAGTTTCTTACATTTTAATTTCAATAATATAATGAGAAGTGATTTTTCTTTTTTCCCATCAACATGAAGATGTTATTTAGTTCGGTCGTTGACGTCTCTTGTATGATAAAAGCAAGAATGACGTGTTCATTGACGTGTGTGTAAAAGACAATGGGACCTTCTGTGTTGGTAACTTGGTATGGTTGCTCTAACGTTGGTCCACACGGTTTTCCTCATTTCAAACATACTAATCATGTAAGAAAAAAAATTATATATGTGTACATGTCAGAAAGACACACTAGTAATCTTCTCGTATTTTGAGAGTTGAATAAGAGCTCCAATTGAATATTCCGGTGATGAGAGGGAGAGTACCTGCAAAAGGCACTCCGACGCTCAAGTCAGGACAAGCACAGATATCGATAGTAATTAATGAACAGTGATATTACCTCGTGACATGAGCTATTTATACCGACATTGATGAACCCTGATTTTCATGAACCCTGCAACAGGATTACCGTATTAGGTAATACGTCCCTAATTAGCTTATTGATGTGATTAACCCGTAATTCTTGATTAGGGGTAATCCTTGATTAGGGGTAATCCTTGAGTCTATGGTGTACTTGGTGGCCGATCGGGTGTCGGCTACTAGATTCGACCATTCGGTGGCCAATGAGGTATCGACTATATAGTGGTCGAATACTATTACCTGTACACTTTGCATTTACAATATTGTTCAAACACGATAAAATTATTAACAACAATAATTTTTTTAAAATATTTTACACAATTGTATACTTATTCAAACTAAAAATAGTGAAACTACAATGATCTCAACTTATTAATTCACATATATAGTCGATGGTAATATACAGTAATAATTTTTCTTCCCCTTTTTATAACACTTGCATTTATGCATATATGATTATAACGCCAACAATAAGAGCGG